AGGGGGATCCACAGCATGTGACCAACAGTGGGATCATCTGCCCCCACTAGGCTGCAGGAGCCACAGTGGCAGAGGATGGTTTTCCTCTCTTCCCCTTTTCCTGTGTGGTACTAGTAGTGGGGTGGGCTTCACTGAGGTCCACCTCCTTTTCCAAGGTATAAGGAGAGGGTGGGGGCGTGCCTAGATATGCGTCAAATAACGGGAAGGATCCATACCTACACCTGGAAACTTTCAGTGGAGGTGTAATGATGGTTTCCTACATCCTGCAGCTCAGAGAGTTCGCAATCCCACTCGTGACTGGTAAAGTTGTGGTCCTGCCCAGGGTGAACATGGAGCCCTGGGGGGAGACAGCAGATGTCATATGCTGTGGGGCTTGGCACTTGAGGGTCTCTTACGATCCCTGGCATATACCCTGCCAACACAACTGATTCCCACACTATTAGTGTTAGTGTCATGGTTATGGTTATGTGCTGGTGATTGATGTTCCTGGAGCGCGCAGGAGCAACAGTGGGCCTGAGAGAGCCCCGTCATGCCTTAGGCTTGGAGCAGCCTTGGATGCGAGGCATTAGCTGTCTGAGGAAAGATCAAGAGACAGCAGATAGACATCTGCTATGGGGATTAGTGCACTGAATTACAAGTTGTTGGTTAAACTCTCAGATTTCTGTTACTTGATTATTCCTTCAAAAGTGAAATACAAAGTCATTCTCATCTTTCTAGGCACCATTTTAATTGTTCTTTTTTAAAGGCAGGCGATATTCAGGTGCACAATACCAAGCACATCTGGTAGACTTTGCTTTTACAACCTGTTGTCCTTACACTGCTGTACTTTCTTGAAGATACATTATTTTCAGAGGGCAACAAAAAAACCCCAACCACCCAACCCTTTTACATGGTGGAATACTTTGCACAAGGCATCAGTTCAGTCTGTAAATTGTTTTGCTAAGAATATGTAGGCTGCATAAAAGGAACCATAGCAAGATTGTCTTGAAATCTGAGTATGGTTTCAACTGGAGTATTGTGACTCCTGTTGTGGAGTGCCAGTGTGCTTGTTCCCTTTGCCTTTCTTTTCCTCAGTACATAATGTATTTTGTGTGCCCCTGGGTGGAGTTAATGGTCTGCTGTGTTGTTTACCACCTTTAAAGGCTTTCTAACAACTTGCTAGATAGTGTGGATAGTAAGTGGTGCAAAATTTTGTACTCCTAACCCGAATGCGCATGATGAGGGCTAGCGGAAAGAGCAAGTGAAAGCCACAGGCATTGCAAAAAAGGTTAAATCATGTTTTTCTTAATCTCTCCAGCCACTATTCCTTCTGGGATGCTTGTTTATATGTTCAGTCCCATGAGTTTGTGTAGAGGATTAGTGGACCTCATGTGGAAAATATCCAGTGACACTGGAAGAAACAGGTGCTGGTGGACTGCCTGTTTGGTTTAGCACTGATAAATAAATCTTCTTCCCAGGGACATGGGGAGAAAACAAGGGTTACCTCCAAAACCCAGAACAGAAACCAAGTAATAGGACTCTGCAGGTGGTCAGTCTGTCTGTCCATTGCTTCCTGCTGTGCGGTGAATTTGTCAGGAAGAGGAGCAGTTACCTGACCTGGTCCTAATCCAGTATGTGTCTTAAGAACAGTTAAAGCTGTGAGATGAATGAATTAAGTCTGTAGTATGTAACCTCATCCCAACTATTTATCCGATTGTTTTGCTTGAACGTCTGTTGTTATCTGTGTGGTTAGGGAAATTCACCCTCTGGATGGAGAAACAGTGTGTTTTTGAACACAAGTGGTATTGGCTTTTGAGAAATATCCCCTTCCCTAACTCAGGTGTTGCTATTGTATATCCAGTCCAACTGTGCAATACTATGCTCTGAGTAAGAGGGTAATGGTTATTTGTAGGACTAAAGAGACAGCCTTCAGAAGGGGAAGGGTTTGTTGCTGCAGCACCTGTCAGCATCTGCACAAGTGATGTGCGAAGTGCACAGCACATCATTGAAGTGCTGTGGGTGCTTTGATAGATCCACACTCATTTAGTGGGTCAGGTACGACCTTAATCTACACTCTGCACCTCTAATGTACCCCTTTCCTCTGCAAACCTGTTGCTCATGCCCTACCTCTGACCCTCACACTTGTGCCCTAGGGTTGGCTGGTTGAGTGGGTTGGGAGGTAGACATCCAGCGCCTGGCTGTGTAGGGCGTTACAGGCTGGTTTTGTCTGGGCAGTTTGGAGCCTGGGGTTACCCCGTGTGTCATTAATCCACTGTATAAATACCCAGGAGAGAAGTGGAGGGAGCGGTTCAGCAAGCTGGGCTGGCTTGGCATTTCCTCAGAGGCAAATAAATGAGGTTGTCTCCATGTAGCTCTGGGGCTTTTGCATGAAGTAACCCCTGGGTGCAGCTGAGAGCGTGTCCCCGCTAAGGCGTGTGTGTGAGACAAAGGCTGCAGTGAGGTCTGGGGAGGGAGCATTCCCTGTCCGTGCATACGCACAGGTTGTGCACCAGGAGTTTCTGTCGGCTGTAAGGGCACTTGTGTTCATGCAGCTGAGGTGTCCCATTGGGTTTCTGGTGCTGAAAGCAGAGGGGCAGGGGCAGGGGCTGTGTTGGTGGCTTTGTGCTTCCAAAGTCATCCAGGCATCAGTGATGCCGACGCAGCGGTGCTTCTGGGGCTGCTGGGGCTGGTGTGCTTCCCCCACTGCCTGCTCTGTGCTGAGGCCAGGCCACCACCAGCATCACCCCTTATGCTGGTGAAGGAGGGGATGCCCTGTTGTGTGATGAAACACTGGTGTTTGCTCCATCATAGGGGCTTTGTGACCTACCCAGTGCCATGGTCCTTGGTGGTGGCACAAGGTGGGCTTCATGGTCCATCCCAGCCTGGCTTCACATGCACACCCTAGCAGGGCGCAGGCTGAGACCTTGCTGCCAGAGAAGGAAGTCCTTACCTTCTCATTTTGCAGCCTTCCCTGACTCATCTGAGGACCAAGTGCCAGGGTGGGTATACCACATTGCACTGTTGCTATATTATGCCACTCACGTAATGTGTCACCGAAGTACCCTATGGTCTGTGGGAAGCAGCAGAGAAGTCTGCCAAAAACATTCCCAAGAGACCACCTCAGACATCTTTCTCTTCTCATGTGCCAAAAGTGTATGGCTCTCATCAGAGGGGTGTGCAAATCAGAGGTCTCCTTCCCTCTAACCTGGTATCAGGCACTTCTGTGTCCAGGGCAAAGGGGTTTTCCAGCTCTTCTGTCTGCTGAGCCGCTGCTGGCTGGGACCTGTGCTCCTTAGACCTAGGACTTTAATTTTCCTTGTTTGGGCTGCTGTGTCACAGCTCAGGTTCACGCTTGCACTTTGAGGTAACAGGTTTGAAATTAAAAGTGGGGCTTTTCTGGCCCTTTTCTGGCAATTATTATTTCTAGGATGGTTGTTTAGGCGTTCAGTAATGGAAGCGTATATGCAGGGTTAGTGGAACTCATATGAAAAGTTTCTGGTAGTGCTGTAATAATGATTGCCTGTTTGGTTTAGCACTGATAAATAAGTCTTCCTCCCAGGGACATGGGGAGAGAACAAGGGTTCCCTCCAGACCCCAGAACACAAACCAAGTAATTGGACTCTGCAGGTGGTCTGGCTGTCTGTTGCTTCCTGCTCTGTGGTGGATTTGTCAGGAAGAGGAGCAGTTACCTGACCTGGTCTTAATCCAGTATGTGTCTTAAGAGCAGCTAAAGCTGTGAGATGAATGAATTAAGTCTGGAGTACATAATCTCATCCCAACTAATTATCCGATTGTTTTGCTTGAACGTCTGTTGTTATCTGTGTGGGTAGAGAAGTTCAGTCTCTGAACGGAGACACAGTGTAGTTTTGAATGCAAGTAGTATTTTCAGTGACATGACTCTACTACTGCATATGGCTGTTGTACAGTCTTGTACAACTATGCTTCACATGAGAGGCACGGTAGCTAACAGCGCTGTTATTGTAAGCTAAGGATTACTTGTAGGACTAAAAAGCTACTCTGAAAACTGAAGGGATTGTTCCTGCTAAACAACCTCAGTATTTGTGTATGTTCTTCTGATGTTCAAGTAGTTCCATAGTAGTAAGAATTTAATCTGCATTTTCAGCTATGAGTTCCATTTTGTAGGTTCACTAAGAATGCTTAACTCAGCAGCCCCCCGTTTGAGTTACCTTAACTGTGGAGCCAGAGAAGTCTGAATGTGCTTCTTTCTCCAAGTATGGAGTATAAGTTGGGAATTGTGAATTGAAGCTGCTAATTTTATACAGCTTTATTCTCTGAGAATTTTTTAGAAGTTGTGTTGTGGCATGTTCAGTGGAAAAGAAGCTAAGAGGTCATTTAGAGCAGCGTTGGTGACTGGGAGATTGGTGAGTTGGTGAAACTAATTTGGTAGAGTTGGATGGAAGCTTGAAGAATATTTTGCATGAAATGTTTGGGAGGTAAGAAATGATGAACTAGCACTTCAACTAAAAAACTAAGGAAGCATGGAAAGAATGTACAGATGCCTTCATTAAACTGGACACTTCTAATAGAAGAGTCTGAGTGAAGTTTCTGAATACATGAGAGCAGTTAAAAAAAGGTAACTGTTAAGCAAAAAAACTTTAGTTCTTGGCAACATATTGAGTAAATGACAAAGAATGATTAAAAGTGCTGCCATGTAGAATCAGGCTCATATGTTCTTGAATTTAATTTTTAAATAGCTTGGGTCTGTTCCCATTCAAAAGCCAAACCATTGCAGAAACGGGTTCATCTGAAACGAGTTTCAAATGGGTTTTTAAAGGCCAGTTTCTATCAGCAGTGGTTACTTGCTCTATGTGCTGAAAGTCTTACGATCCAAAAGGTGTCAGTAGAATTGCACAGTGCCACTGCAGCTTAGTATTTTAAAGAAATAACTCCCAAAATGTTAACTGCACATATACAACTATAAATAACAGTTTTGCTGCAGAAAAAAAGGGGAGTGTTGTATTGACAGGCATTGTATTTTGTGCTTTTTTTTTTTTCCCCAGGTGGTTCACTGCCCCATGAAGAAGCTTCATTGGTTGTTAATAAAGGGGAGGAATTAAGGTTGAGGTGCAACGAGAATGGACCTGTGACTTGGAATTTCCAGAACTCGGACCCATCAGCAAAAGCAAGGAGTTCCAATGAGAAAGAGTGGTACACCAAAAATGCAACAGTCAGAGACACAGGGAGATACACATGCAAAAGCAAAGGGAGTATCGTCAACTCTTTTTATGTTTTTGTTAAAGGTAAATATCAATTAAGGCATTATTTTGCTTTCCCTCTCTTTCTCACTCTCAAAATAATAGGACAGTAAATGCTGGAGGAGGGAATGTATTTGACGAACAAAGGGAGAACAGAGTCTGATACAAGAAATCATCTTCCCTGTCAGTAGAAAGAAAACTCACTCCCAGCTTTGCTTGTAATGGCTTTGTCATGAGAGCAATGTTCTGGATGAGTCTCTGTTTACATCCCTGTTGCTTGTGGTGAAATATACCTGAGCTGTCTTTCTAGAAGCTAGCCAAGTGACCTGAATCAGTTGTATGACTCAATTGTACTGTGAGGAAGCAAGCAGTAAGTCATGTAAGGCTTGGCCCCAAGCACTTGATTTATTGAGACATGTAGCTAAAGTATTTGGCTTTTTGAGGCTGCACTTTCAGGGCTTAAGCCAGCAATGATTTCTCCACCTCCAGCTTCTGATCTGCCTTGTGACTGATCAGAAGTGTCCAACTTGGGAAGAGTGCCTCTGCTCTGACACATTTTTGCAATCCTTTATTACCCTGTTTTTTCTTCTCATCTTTTGTTGGCTCCTGATCTGTGGCTTCATCAGCTGCCCTGGAGCGGACAGTGTACCAATCCTGGCATTCTCTTTTCCTTTCCAAGGAAGACAGTTATTTTCCTGCTTCTTCACATAGCTCTGGTGATCTTTCTTCCCTGTTGAGGGAAAAAAGTCCTACAACATCCACCTTTTTTGCAGAAATCATTCCTTGTCCAACAGGGGTTGTCTCAAAGAGCCTCCTCTGAGCCCTGCCAATCCTTTGAGACTTAACTGCAAGATTGTTCTCCAAGACAGGGAAATATCAGCACAGCACAGTGAAGAGTATTTTCCCAAGGGAAGATATCTGACTTAGTAACCACATGGTTTAAAGAATGCTCCTTTAACTGCTCCTGAGTTGTCTAAATAGCCAGGCAGCTACTATGGATGTTTTCTTGACCACCTGTGTTTCTCTGAGACTATGGCTAAAGAAAATCTGGCATGTATTTTACCTACGTGTGACAAACATTGCTGACTATCTACTATGACTGTTTTCCTGAAAGTCATGGTAATTATCCCAGACAGCTGTGATCATAGATTTGTTTGTGCCTTCCACCACATGACTCCTTCACCTCAGGATAACAGGCAACCCTTCCACTGAGCATGATTACCAAACCATCAGAGAAGTTGTGTGGCCCTCATGCAACATGTTGTTAATTTCTTTGTCTTTATTGTGTGAAAAAATGTGCAACCTTCACTTTGCCAAGTTCCTGGAAGTAAATGTTTGTGAGGTTGGCCATTATTCTGCAATTGGCTTTGTCTTAATGATGCCTTACATCTTCTTGAAGATGCTACCATGAGCTCAGTTGCTTGTGATGTTGCCACAAGCACCCCATATGCTTTCTGCTTGTAAAGCTGGGCATGGAGAACAGGACCAAGAACCTTGATCCTGCTAGTCCCAAGTGGCACATAAAATGGTGCCAGCTGTTTATATTTGGATCCATATGAATCTACTAAGAACATACTTTCCATGCTTCTGTGACCAAGGATGACACAGTATTGACAGACTGTAGGTATATTCCTCTTTGGCACAAAATGTTGGTGGTGTATCTATAGAAGTAGTTTGTGTTCCTATCTGAGCAAGTTTATCAAAGATCAAGCTAGTTCAGACATCTAAATATACAAGAAAAATCTCTTCATTTTGATCTCGATCTCAGGTCTTTTTTCCCCTGGGGAGCCATACTTTCTTCATAGTGGAGATATCTTGTCTCTGTCCATATTGGAGAAAAAGTGGACTGAGATGAAACCAATTAGCTTAGTCTCTATCAGCAGGGATAGCGATTTAGGAATTTCTCTAGTCCATTCTCTCTGCCCAAGAGTGACAGCTATTCATGGTATTTCTCTAAGTATCTCTGTGTGCATAATGTCACACTTTGTTTCTGTTCAAACACGCTTTACTTTTTCACTTACTGTTTCTATATTTGTACTATTTCGTTTGTTTCATCTACTTACTTCATTTATTAGTAGTCTCCATCCTCTAGTTCTAGACTGTTGCTTTAAAGCTTTTCGTTTCTGGGGATATCTTGGGTGCCAGTATCAAGTGAAGTTAAAACTACACCCTCACGCTAAGCTAGAAACCAGCCAATAACTTCCCTGTTTAGCGATGGGCATCCTTTAAGTTAGTATTTCCTAATTACTTGTGCAAATGTCCTGTGCTTTATTTTCAGACTAGTACTTGTCTTAAACCAAAGGAGCATTGTCCATCTTCCTTACCAGATTCTCTCAGTCTTTATTCTTAAGTCACCATTTGTTGACCTCTAATCATTCAAGTTGCATTAAGCAAGTTTGCAAAAAAGAAACAAAACTTCTTCCCCTGTTTCTACATTTCTAATTCATGCTACTCTGTAGGGAGGGCAGATGGGAGCTGAAATAGGCTTTTACAGAGTGTTTGTCACCACACCATCCTTTCTTTTTGGCCAGGTTCTTAGCATTTCAAAGTCATCACCTATATTAGGCTTTAACTTTAGTTGTGAAAGTATTTACTGTATGTTTGTGTGCTGGGGTTGGCTGACATTAAGTGCTTTAGGAAAGTTACCCTGTGAAGGTTGTGTGATGATTTTTCAATCAGATATGCTGTTTATATGCCTTTTTAATGTATTATTATTAAGGAGGCTAAAAATAACCCCTGCTTTCAGGGAGGGGAGAAAGAGAGAGAAGTTCTTTGGTGCTTCCTCTGGTAGCAATGTGTGTTCATTTAGATTATGTGTTTTACAGAAGTGAAAACCATAATTTAGGTGCTTTTCAACTTCCATTTGCTCGTAAATTTCTTCAAGATCCTCCTGTGGGCATGAAACCTTACAGCCTGGCCGCTAGCTAAAAGCAAATTACTTTTAATGGTCTGTGAAAATCTGTTTACTGTTATTGGAGGTTGAGGGTGGAGGTTTGGGAGCTAAACAAGGCAAAAAAAGATATCTCCCATCTCCGAATAAAAAAGCAGTAAGATTATTTTTAGTGAACATGAGTCCTTAGTGTGTCTGGTATTGAATGCTACTGCACATTTCCTGTTGTACTGCTCTTCTAGGACAAAACTTAATGTCTCTTGGTAAACATGAATTGGGTAATAGTTGTTTTTATTGGCTGAGCATAAAACTTTCTTTGATGTAGGTGCCCGACTGCACAGTTAGGGTCATCAGAAGTTCCCTATGCAATGTCAGCTGCTCTGACAGGTTTTGTGTTTGTTCACAGATCCAAATGTGCTCTTCCTTGTTGATTCTCTCATCTATGGGAAAGAAGACAGTGACATCCTGCTGGTGTGCCCACTAACAGATCCAGATGTTTCAGATTTCACGCTGAGAAAATGCGATGGCAGACGTCTCCCCAAAAATATGACGTTCATTCCCAATCCCCAGGAAGGCATCATTATAAAGAACGTGCAGAGGTCGTTTAAGGGCTGCTACCAATGCTTGGCCAAGCAGAATGGAGTTGAGAAAATATCTGAGCACATTTTTCTGAACGTGAGGCCAGGTAACACCAAAATGTTGCTTTCTTGTAGAGCACCTGATTTTACCCTTCACTTTCCAGGAGCTGGTGGGAAGTGCTGTGAAGCCTCACCTTTGTCCTAACCTTTTAATGGGGAGGATGGAGGTGGTGGTCTCCTCCGGGGGCTTTTGGAGTCTTCTACTCAAAACCAGAGATACTTGCACACCAGGGGATTACTCTGGCGCCTGTGGCTGCTGCAGGATGTTCAAAGGAAGATGGGGGCTTAGAAAGCTTGTTCTGGGCAAGTTGTGTTGGGCTACAGATTGGTTGTAGGACACTTGACTTGTAGGAGTGCTAACCAGCTCTGGCCATGATCATGTTTATTTTCTGTTCCTGGTGATTTCCAGGTGTTTTTTTTTTTCACCATTCTGAGTAATTTGGATTATGCTGTTGTTTTGAGCACAAACCCTCAGGTTTGGACAGGTTTCTGCATGCAAAGTGGAGATTTGTGTCTGAATCACAGGCCTGACTCTCATGTCTGTTGCCTACAAGTGACAGCAAAAGGAACTGATGGAACTGAAGAGGAAGGATTCAGTGAAGAGGCAGAGCTTGGGGGAGCAGAGGGCCCTTGTTTGTCTCCATCTTTGTGAGGATGGTCACAACAGCAACCATGTGTCCTGATCATGATGAGGAGTGTGTTCTGGCTGAGCTGTGATACGCAACATTTGCAATATGCTCTGCAAGCCTGTTGCTGATGCCCTACCTCTGACCCTCACACTTGTGCCTTAGGGTTGGCTGGTTGAGTGGGTTGGGAGGTAGACGTCCAGTGCCCGGCTGTGTAGGGTGTCACAGGCTGGTTTTGTCTCAGCAGTTTGGAGCCTGGGGTTACCCCGTGTGTCATTAATCCACTGTATAAATACCCAGGAGAGAAGTGGAGGGAGCGGTTCAGCAAGCCGGACTGGCTTGGCATTTCCTCAGAGTCAAATAAATGAGGTTGTCTCCATGTAGCTCTGAGGCTTTTGCATGAAGTAACCCCTGGGTGCAGCTGAGAGCGTGTCCCCGCTAAGGGGTGTGTGTGAGACAAAGGCTGCAGTGAGGTCTGGGGAGGGAGCACTCCCTGTCCATGCATACGCATAGGTTGTGCACCAGGAGTTTCTGTCGGCTGTAAGGGCACTTGTGTTCATGCAGCTGAGGTGTCCCATTGGGTTTCTGGTGCTGAAAGCAGAGGGGCAGGGGCAGGGGCTGTGTTGGTGGCTTTGTGCTTCCAAAGGTATCCAGGCATCAGTGATGCCGATGCAGCGGTGCTTCTGGGGCTGCTGGGGCTGGTGTGCTTCCCCCACTGCCTGCTCTGTGCTGAGGCCAGGCCACTAGCAGCCTCACCACTTATGCTGGTGAAGGAGGGGATGCTCTGTTGTGTGATGAAACACTTACTGGTTTTTGCTCCATGGTGAGGGCAGTGTGACCAGCTCAGGTCTATGTGGCCAGCTTGATGCTCTGCTCTTCAGTAGTGGGGCAGGGGTTGGGCAGTGGGGTTCATCTCAAGTGTGGAGTTTGCTGTGGCAAATTGAAGTCTTGTTCCTGGTGATTTGGGCAGTCTGATGCAGTGAACTGTAATGAATACTAAATTTCAATTAATGAGAAAAGAACAAAAGTTGGATCAGTACAGCCATCTCTGGCATTCTCCTTTGATGACAGAAATCAAGTCTGTTCTTGCTGTCTCTTTTGTTTGTTCTGTAACAAGTTTTTCTTTCAACTGTGTTTTTTTTCCCAGTGATGGCCAAAGAAAGAAATTTGTTGATGTTTCTCTGAAATAGTGTCGTGGTTTAACCCCAACCAGACAGCTTGTTCACTCACACCCCCCCCCCCCCCCCTTCTTGCCCTCCCCTATTCTCAGAGGGACGGAGAGGAGAATCAAAAAGAATGCAACTCCCACAGGTTGAGATAAGAACAGTTTAGTAACTAAGGTATAACATAAATCACTACTGCTACCACCAATAATAATAACAATAAAGGAAATAACAAGGGAAGAGAATACAACGCCTCATCACCAGGTGACCGATAGCTCGCCCCCCCAGCCCGACCAAGCACCGACCGATACCTCCTCCAACCCTGCAGTCCCCTAGTCCTTCCGGGTAACTCCCAGTTACATTCAAGGCATGACGTGCTGTGGTATGGAATACTTCTTTGGTCAGTTTGGGTCAGGTGTCCTGTCTCTGCTTCCTCCTGGCTTCCCTCCTCCCTGGCAGAGCATGAGGCCCACAAAGTCCTTGGCCAAACCAAAACAGCATCTTTATCAGCTCTGTTCCCAGCTGAAAGTCAAAACACAGCACTGCACCAGCTACCAAGAAAGAGAAAAATGACTGCTACTGCTAAACCCAGGGCTAATAGGAAAGTGCAAGTTTTACTATTGAAACATTTCACTTTTTTATGGGATAAAATCTGTAGCTGCTCAATACAGCAGTGTCTTCCGATGGGAACTGCTGACCTGGCATCCATTGCCAGCCACCCACTGGTGGTGGGTTGTTGGTGGCTAGTGGAACCTGGGCAATATGCCTGTGTTCTCTGTTTGCGGGGAAGCATGAAGTAAGTGGAAGCATCTGCTGAAGGCCATCAAAAGCAGAGCAGCATTGCCATCCTTAGTGTCGTAATTACTGTGCTGTAGTGTTCAGTCCTCATTGAGTTCACCAGGTAAAACTCCCACTTTCTCCTTGGGTGAGGATTTCAATGCATTGGAGACCCTTTGGTGAGCAATGTTTTTGTAATCATAACTGGCACTCAGACCCCCAGGCTTCTGGCACAGAAGGACAGAAGAAGCATCCATGAAACAGGGAGCTGTGACATACACCAGCCCTGCTACAGTAGCACAGGGAGCGTTTATGTCCAACCTTTCTCAAAACAATGAGGGGCTTTATGGACTTAATGGCTTTTTTGTTGTTCATAGATGTTTCTGGTGGGTGAGAACACAGCACGCCTTCTGCACCAGCTTCTTCCTGTCTCTTGGGTACTGCTGAATGCTGGGGAGATTTTCATGTCAGCTTTTATATCTGAAGAGAGCAAACATGTTTCTTTGTTCTCTTCTGTAGCTGCTTACAGCAGCATGAGGAAAACATTATTGTTAAAGTATGAATGGCTGAAAAGTGTGGCGTTTTCCTAAGTTTTGTGTCATTTACCTCAGACAACTACAAAGCCTGTGTCAGAGGCAGGAAAGAATCTGGGAGACCTTATCTGATATAAGTTCCATTCACAGTTTGAGAGTAAGTCTTCCTGCATAAAAGCCCTAGTGGGAAGTTCACTGGAGTCTCTAAAGAAAAAGTTGAAGAAAAGGTTGAAGGAAACAGAAAAAACAAATTGCAGAGGGAACAGAAGAAAAGCTGAAGACCTTTGTGGAGATAGGAGATACATAGTCCTCAGATATACTTAACTGTTGACAAAAGACACCCCGTAGCAGAACAGGGGTACAGCTAGCCCATGTCACCTACTGTTGGGTGACAAGCTTGTCCACAGTCTTGGCTCCAGCCACCTTGAACCATCACCGTGAGCAGAGGCTCACCACAGGTTGTGGTGCTTTCAGAGGTGGGTGTGCTGTAGTCTTTGAGCTGTACTGTCCTTCCTAGACTGTCCATCAGGGACTTTGAGGAACCTGTCAGACAGTACTTTCTGTTAGTGGTATTTTCTAATTCAAAGTTGCAGTTCATGCTAGCCTGTGGTTCTGTAGTGGCTAATCCTCACCATGTTTTCAGTTCCAGAGTGCAGTGTTTTAATCACTGTCATGGAATGGATCATCTTATTGATGATTCAACATCATTGGAGTTTCTTCCTGAAAGTTGCTATGCTGTTGCATATTACCTAACTTTAAATGTAATTTGAAGGGGGACCGAAGCAAAAATGTGCTTGTTGTAAGGGAACAACTGTGTAATATGTTATATAAATTTGGATGCTTCTCGGAGGGCTGAAATTTTATTGGAAAGTTAATGACTATTTTTTCTTGTCATTCCCCCCCCACCTTGGAAGCTCTGAAGCTAATGAAAAGTACACTTATAAATTGTTTTCCAGTTCACAAAACTCTTCCTGTCATTACCTTATCCAAAAGCCATGAGCTTCTCAAAGAAGGAGAAGAATTTGAAGTTACTTGCATAATCACGGATGTGGACAGCAGTGTACAAGCTAGCTGGATTTCTCACAGAAGCGCGGTGAGTTCCTTTAATTGTATCATATATGCCTCATCATAGTATGCAAACTTTTTGTAGATATTCACATACTTGTCTTGGATACCTGATACTGTATCAGTTTGGATTTGTTGCATTTCCAAAGGTCCCACATCCCACAGACTGATGAAGAGCCAGCAACAACAGCCCGTGCAGATGGCTGGGAGGAAAAGCATCTGCATGGGCTTTTCCCCCCAAGCAGAAATTGAAGTTAGGCTCTTCACTGTAAAGTTTAGGTGACCTCTATTGGGCTGCCTAAGTACGGAAGCATGGAGTGCCTACACATCACATTGCAATCAATGGGAGCTGCAAATATCAACACATGGACTGCAAATTACATATTCTAGTCGTTATCATTAAGAGTAAAATACCTGCTAATTAGCATGGGACTGTGTGTGACAGGAATAGTAGTAAGCATTTGCAGGAATGATTAATTCATTTAAATTACATGGTGTGCCTCACTAAGTGGGGAAGTTCTGAAAAATGAACCAGTGAACTGGCTTCTGTCTGTAGTGACAGATGAAGTTACTGCCTGGCATCACCAATTGAATTATTGTCAGGCTAAGTGTTCCAGTAGAGTTGATTACTGGCAGCATAGCTATTCTGCAGGTGAGGGACAGAGAGATCCCCTCCCCAGGTCAGCCAGTGTGCTGCCAGCTCTGCCTTTGAAATGAGCAGCAGGCACTGGGTTGTTTCTAAGGATGCTTCTTGATCTTCTGGGTATACCCTGAAATTTCTGTTAATCAAAAGCCCTTGTGAAGACCTGTTAGTAACTTCTTCCATATATGATCCCATGCTAACTGGCTGGTCTTTTACTGCTAATGGTGGTGACCAGAATGCGTAATTCACATTCCACAAGTCTATGTGTGTATGGAAGAAAAGACTTGGGTGATGTTGTGATGTTTGGATAAATCACATCTCCTCAGGCAGATAGGGAACAGGAGGCCTGTTCCCTGGGGCTGGGTATGCCATGCTTAGCTAATCCACTGCCTCTGGCAGAGCTGCTGTCGCTAAGTGCTCACTGCTGCAGAAATCCCACATCTCAGCTCCGAAGATTGGGGAGGTCTAAATGAAGGTGGCATGGGACATGCAGATGGAGCTTTTGGTTCTTTGCCAAGGTCAACTGCAAGTCCTTCATCTGAGAACTTAATTTGTTCCCTTACTTCTCTCCCTTTTCTTTGTTATGGTATGATGAAACTGTGGTCTTTCATGCTTTCTCACTTTTCACTTTTTAAGAGCCACGAGAAAAATATTTTTGCCCAAATAAGTTTGACCTTTCTGTGCTTTCTGGTAAATAGTAGGTGATGCTGTCTTTTAAATATTGACTTTCAAATTAAATTTTGTACTAAACCAGAATACATTAAATTCGTGTTTAAATAGATGCAGAACTACATTTTCTCCTGAATAGGTGGGTGGAAAAAATACAAACCACTTCTTCCTCATATGACTGAACTTATCACCACTTCTCAAAATCAGGAGACTTGTTATAAGCAAACAGATCCATACAAAACAAACTTCATTTGTGATTATTATAGATCAGCAGGAATCAAAACGGTGTTGAAAAGATTAAATTTATCTAGAATCTTGGAACCTCAAGAATTGAGATAATCTCATTAGAAAATCATAACAAGCCCAAGTCTGCATTGGATTAATCAATGTAAATGTATCAGTCTTTCCAACCACACTAAGCATTCTCACAAAAACTAAAGTCAAGACATCAAGGCATTTATTTCTTTCTATGCATACGTAGGCATAGAGTCATGATACACTTAATACTTTGAAAAGAGAATGAAGTTTCCGCTTGCCTTTAAGGTTAAGGAATCTAGATTGCTATGGACCAAGAGTCAGAGCGATACAAGAGGAAAACCTGCTGCTGGCAGGTCTCTCTGCAGTATGTCTGTGATCAGGAGATGCTCGGCCTCATGCCATAGAGCAACACAGTTTATAATGAAGCTCTAGCACCTTAAGTTTTCTCTTGTCGTTCACCAGGAAGCAACCATTGGAAACTTCAATGATTTTTAGTCTTGACTTGAGTGGTGAACCTCACTTCAGAGTTGCAATGACTTTTTACAATAGCTGCAGCTTTTGAGCATTAGGAAAGGTTAAGAGCCAGTGACCATTTTGCATCAAGCCCCACAGCTAGAGTCATTGTTAATACAAATAAAACATGTCAGTTCCTCACCATCATCAGGATTAGAAATGTAGACAGAGTGAGCTGGGTCTGACTTTGGGCACAACACCCTTTTTTTCTACACACACACACATGCACACATGCACACACATTCTTACTTTACCCTGGAGCTTGAGGAGGAAAAAAATAAAGAATAAAGGGAAGGAACAGGACTTAGGAGAGGACATTATCTCCCAAAGACAGCTGATCACACACTTGTTTTGCATCGAGAGATTCAAGTGACAGGTTTGCCGTGCTTGCTTATTATTCCGGTTTAAAGTTATGAATATTAATATAGCAAAGTTATAATTACTTCTATTTTTAATTTATCTAGCAAAGATGCTGCATACACAGTGTTTTAGATGTTAATTGTTTTTTACCGACAGATTGTTACAAGCAAAAGCAGAAATTTGGGTGATTATGGATACGAAAGGAAATTAACATTGAACATCCGTTCAGTGGGAGTTAATGATTCTGGAGAATTCACATGCCAAGCAGAAAACCCGTTCGGAAAAACCAATGCCACAGTAACCTTGAAAGCACTAGGTAAATAGTTCTTGTGGAAATCTTAACATTTCTAAGAGCAGGAGGTGGAAAGTGAGAACACTAGAGAGCCATCCCTTCCATCTCTCTCCTTTCCCCCAAATCGCAATGAGTAAAGTTGCTTTATTGAAAGGTTATTGCCAACTGGTACCATATGGGATGGCTTAGGAATGGTTGTGGTGTGGATGACTGCTTTAATTTCCATAACCCTTTGTATGTTATTAGAATGTGATATTAGAGAAACCACCCAGCAGTGTTTACGTCGCTGGTTTGTCTCAACCTTCCTGGCTTAATTTTCAATTGAATACAGTCCTAACGAAGCAAGTCATTTAACTTTGCCTGATGCTGTCCCTACACTTAAGTAATTTGGCAGCACAAGCACGAAGTGTATCTTTAATACCTACCCTCCAAGCACAGGACATTTCACTGCCATCAGCGTGTCACTGTTGTTTACGTAGAAGCTTTATATATACTTCTATTTAAAATAATGCTGTGAGGAACATTGTAGTGTGCATAGACAGTATGAAATTGTTCTGATGCTCACCCCTGTCATATACCCACTATCCATCATTTCCACAGGTTTTGGTTCATGTCCCTTGACACTGAGCAAACTCCCTCTCTCCTCTTGTTTAGTAACAGGCTTGGTTAGAGTCTGCTATATATTAACTTGAGTGACACATGGTGCCTTTTGGATTTTAAAGCTGCTAAAACATGCTGATTTGATAAACTAAGGACAATTAAGAACATGTTGGTGTAGTTAGTAAGATCATTCTGAAGAAGTCTGCATAGTTGGCTACATCTGTTTCAGTTCCTTACCATTCAAGGGTGTAGTAACTAGGGAAGTCTTGGATCCTTTTTCCTTTTCAGATCTGTTTTTTGGTCGCACAGATACTCATTGCTTGGTTTGCTTTCTCTGTTAAATTAAAAAGAAACAGAAGTGTTTGACCTGTGCATGTCAGAGCAGCAGCGGTTTGAGTGTCCTTAACCTTGATCTGACATTCAGAGGGGTAGGGCTCAATGTTGAAGATGTTTCCTCACTTTTTCACAGGAGAGACAAAATTCATATGTAACAGAGGAAAACAGCATGAAGTATGAAACAAAATCTTTTCCCCAAAGGGAACAATATGAAAGCTTTTATTATAAGAGGAGGGAAGTTTTTAACTACAGAAATTATTAGGCCTATGACTGCATGTGCAAATGTGGCTTTAAAAAGGGTTGACTTAAGGTCTGGGGACTAAAATAAAGCACAGCCTTATAAAAAGCAGAAAATAAAGTAACAAGCTTGTGCTTAGTAAAATGCAAAGTTTGTATTTAATAAAAAATGCCAGAGAAAAGCTGGAATCTTTCATTTTCAAGGTACTTTTCTCTCCCACCCTCTCAAATTTGACTTACAATAAAATAAACTCTACGTTCTGGATGCTTTTCACCATTCATTGTCAAACTGACTATATTTATCTGAACTGTGCCAGTGCTCAGGGTGCTGGGAAGTCTGTAGCATGTACTGGAGAGATCCTGGGATTGTATCAGATCCTAAATCACCGTGGCTTTAACGTTCACCAAAAGGTTTACAGGAAATAATGGGTATTTTTGGTAAATTTCCTAATTACTTTTTTTAACAGTTAATTTAACTGTAAACAGTTTTCAGAACCTTGTTTCGGGGACTGAGAGCACAATCATAAAACTTTATTAGCAGATTCCTGGGTCCAAGTTAGAATCTAGGTTTATACAGAAAACAGAAGAAAACCGAATAAACTAAAAAACTTCAGTTTCCAGATACAAATCTTTTTCCTAATGATGGGGAGCATTTTAGAGCATACCTGCCTGCTGTGAGTTTACTTCATCCTTTCTTCTTCAAAGCATCTGTCAAGTGCTCTGGCAGCTCCATATGCTTTCACCAAGCCCCACTGGCTCTGGTTTTCCTGAGCTCAGGTGCCCAGCTGGCCACAGCAGTTTGATTACTAGAAAGTGGGAAGAAGCAGTGATCTGAGATTGACTTTTGATCTAAATTCAAGCCCTCTCAGCAAATGTGTTTTTCTTGTAATTGCAATCTGCCCATCAAACTGGTAATTCCTGTATGAATTTGTGTAATGGGACTGAAAAATGTGTCCTTTCAAAGTGAATAATCCTGAAGCTGATGAGTTTATTAATGAAATTAAAAACACTGCAGTAAGGATGCTGCTCCACATGATATCATGGAACAGAACTGCATAATGATAAATGATATTTGCCAAATAAAAGATTAAGACCCAGCAGTAGATGAACAGAAATGCTTTAGTTTAAGACAATTCATATCCTGGCCTGTGGACTTAGCACATTTTTGTCTAATTACAGTTTTTAATAGATTGATTCGTGATGTCGTTCTTAATTACAATTGACAAACCTCAAATACTCTAGTATATTGTCCTAAATGATCCATTTCTCTTGTTTTCTTAGTGTTTATTTCATATCAGAGTTAGCAACTCTGAGTTTTTGAAAAGTATAAATACTTGAATAGTCAAACACGTGCTTGCCTTTTTCCAAAAGCAAAAAGAGGGTATTTGTCACCATAAGATGCAATTATTTCTGTTAAGGCACTCAAGACTGCTTTAAGTCCTGTGTCTCATTGCTATATAAAGCTGTTGGCCTTGGTTTTGACAGGTGAGGGTTCAAGTTCTGCTTTGTAGATAAGGTTTCCTCTTTCACAGTTATCTGGATGCTTGATCTCTGATCTTGAAGTAGTCCCAAGTGTGGTTAGTGTACTGACAATCCTCCAAATGGCCCTAAAAATGTTTTTCTTCTCTTCTTATGGTCGTCAGTTAAAGGATTTGTCCGTTTGTTTGCAACAATGAATACCACGATAGATATAAATGCAGGACAAAATGGAAATTTAACAGTTGAATATGAGGCATATCCAAAACCGAAAGAAGAGCTCTGGATGTACATGAATGAAACGTTACAGAATTCATCTGACCATTATGTCAAGTTCAAGACTGTGGGCAGTAACAGGTAATAAGAGTGATTGTAAGTCCTATAGATTTCACTTTGGAATAGCAACATAGAGTCTGCTCTGGAAAGAAGAAAGTGGAGATGGTGAGAAAATTGCGATTATAAAAGATGTTGTAGTCTGCATGGCTTACCACAGTAACTGGTGCAAAGTCTGCTAACCTAGACTTGGAATAGCATTGAGCTAACCACACCATCTGTGGGCCGGTGTGCCCACGAGATGCCATCCTGCCCAATAAGAAAAACTAAGAATTTAAAGTTGTTTTCCCACTACCACAGCAGAACCCAGTGCTCTAGACAAATGCTTATGCTTTTAATTCTGCTGGGCACTATAGTCTTTTGAGCCATGGTCCTCCAAAAATCCAGTGAAACATCTAGTACCTATGGCCTGGGTTGTGTACCTGGGTTCCCCCCTCAGCAAGAAAAGGGGGAGGCCATGGTGGGTGCATGAGGTCTGAGCCTGATGCTGAGCTGTCACCTGGGTACAAATCTGGGTGTTAGAAGTGGCAGAACTTCTGGACACTATAGCACAAGAGCTGTTGTAATGCAAGGTGAGAGTGTCTGCATGGAAAGTGTCTGCAAAAGACAGTGTGCTAGTGATTCACTTCTCAGCTTCCGGGTAGCAATTGCCTGTTCGCTGCAAGTTGTGAGCATCAGTAATGCGTAGTTTTCTCTTTACAGTTATACAAGTGAACTTCACCTTACCCGATTAAAAGGAACAGAAGGAGGCATTTACACATTTTTTGTGTCCAATTCTGATGCCAGCTCCTCTGTAACATTTAATGTCTATGTGAAAAGTAAGTAAAGTGAACAGTCTGAAATATTTCATTATCATAGTCATTGTATTTTACACAACATAATGTATGCACAAGATGTCACAGTGTGGTTCAGCATATGAAAGGCTTTCTGAAATAAAGCACATGCTGGAAAACTATTTAAATGTCAAGATATAAAAGTGCAGAGTACTTACACAAATCCACCTACTACACAACATGACCTTACATTCCAGCGAACGTATTCCAGAGGTTACCAGAGAGCAGCTAGACACAGGAAAAAAACGTGAGCACCTGAAAACAAGATCTCAAATATAAGCATGTATCATAAACCTTTGATAATTTAAGGTGGAGCAAGATATACAGGGATTATAATTTGCATTTTTGGCAGCACAGTTAAGCTGTTATTCGTCTTTAATTTGCTTGAGTTGGATGCAGAGTTTGAATGCTTGTCAAGAGAATTATTCGCTTGTGCCTTTTGGCACCTAAATAGTTTTGTATAATAATATAGATCACCATTGTTTTAGAAAAATCCGCATAACTTTATAAATGCATGTGCTGTCATCTTTGGGACATGCTTTTTAAAAAAGAGCATCAGTCTCACTTCCAAACAGCGTTCTTCAAGACAGAAGCTAAACGTCAAAATTAATTCAATCAAACCTTCAGGAAGTCCTGTCCTTCTTAGCAGAGCCATCCTGTTAGAGCGTTTCATGCTCTCAGCAGATAAATATTGGCAGTTGCTAAAGGCCAGGCTTAAGGAAAATTAAACTAGGAGGGAACTGCATGCAAACTGGAGAAACTAGGGTGAGGTAGGCAATGATGCCTTCAAGCCCAGCAGGAGGAACTGTGTAGAAAGTGAGTGAATGTGCTGCAAATAGAGTTCTGTGTCGCTGCTATGCTTTAGCAGCCACATGTCCTTCTGCAGGAATAGGTTTATGCAGAGAACTGTTGAGGCTTCCACAAACAAAAAATCCTAGATACTATTTTCTGGATTCTTCTCATTTATCACTGAAGATCATCACTTGTAGCTTCACTGTTAGCGATGCCATAGTTTGGGTCTAGAAATGTCAACTGGGCTTCTTTCAGAGCATGGCACTTCTTACTTCATCTGTGAATGCTGTCATTTGTATCCTTGTGCCTTTTCTATTTCCCAGCTGTGATTTTTGAGGTGAGGGCTCTGGTGACTTCAGATATCCTTTGTCTGAATGGATGAGTGTGGGTTATAGTCACAAGGGATAATTTTACTATTTTACAGATTAGTGGAGGAAATTGTTGAGCCAGAATTTAATTTCTGGGAAGGAATGTGAGAAATTGCAGGTTGCCAGTAGAACTGCCAATTCACATGAGGCTGGATGGTGTTTTTTGACTTGCAGCTTCAGTGCAGTGTGAGGGGCTGTTTATGGTCCTTCCAGCTCTCCCAGGCTCTGCAGGCTGCTTGGGAGCAATCTGCTCACAAGAACTGAAAAAACCCAACCTACAGTTTTGTCATCACCAGGTGTCAGTTCCTGGTGCAGTGCTCCGTGTTGCCACTTTTCAGGAATGTGCTACTGAATGAAAGCTGAAAACCCCTGTAGATGTTGGTTAATAAACCAGACTAGGAAGAGCATGGTGAAGCTTGAGGATGGTCAAGAGAAAAAGGAGGATAGACAGTTTAGTTCTTCTGATTGGCTTGTCCATACAAACATCAGTATTCAAGGTTTCTTCCCTCTTGCTTCAGCTTGTAAGTAGTAAGATCAATCTTGGGATGCAGCGAGCACATTTAAGCAGTCTCATAGAATTCTCATCACCATGCACTGTGGCATTGGGTGGACTGCAGCCATTGCTGAAGCAGGTGGATTTGACACACTTGACTCAAAAAAGAGGGGGGTTTTTTGGTGTTTTGACTAAGCTCCTGCAAATATTTTTTCATTTTGAAAAGAAGAAATGAAAAAGATTGATCCTTCTAGGGGGCTGTTTTTAAGAAAAATAACCTGGGTTTAGTGGTTTATGAAATGCTCATCATTTAGGTTTGAAATAAAAACTGCATGACAGCATACCATATTATCTGACATAGGAGAGTAACTGCCAAAGGTCAGCCATGTGTGGTGTGTCAGATGCAGATCTAATGGTGCATCCTGACCTGGCGCTGTTGTCAGTGGGGATTTCACATAAATTGCTGAGATACAGCTTGTGATGTTTACATGTCTTAGGCAAGTAATCAGCAGAAAGTAATCAAACAGGTAAAACAGGATTCGTAATCAGGCGAGTGTCTTCACATAAACAAAAAGCAATGCTGAAGCATTTGCTGAAAGAACCCAGTGCAGAAATTCTTGCCTTGGATTTAAACACATGTAGTAATTGCATATGCTAATCTGAAACAATACAAAATTGCTTTAAAAAAAGTAGTAATTTATAGTAAATGTAAAATAAAGTAAGGAAGAAAGGAGCTCTGAAATTATGAGCCAAATGGAAAATCACAGCTTGACAAGCAGCATGCTGGACGGAGTTACAATTAAGAATTTGTAGAAATCTCCAGAGTGGCAAAGTACAGTGCATCTACCAACAGGAAGAAGAATCTTCCAACTAGTATCTGACTTTAATGCAGAATAATATCTGAGCTTAATTATAGTCAGCAAAATATTATCTATGCAGTTGCTCATGCTGCAAAGAGAAAACTGGTATTACAGATCGCATGAAACCAAGCTCAGCGGTTTTTCCTGTCACTAAGCTATGCAGTGAACAAATGAGGAGTCACCATGATCCTATAGAAAGATTTGTTCCCATCTAGAAAATGTAGCTGCAGGAGGAAAACCCGGTCTCTTTGTCTGTGATGACAGACAATGCTTATTCAGTCTTACTTCTTAGCCATTCACTTTGTTAATGATGAAGAAAGGGAAATTGGTAATAGAAAGCAATTAAATGCACATTATCACACAGAGCACTGAATTAAAGTAGGAGTGGCCTTTGAAACATTCAGAATCATTAATAAAAGCTGAAAAGCAGTTAATAAACTTCGTAAAATTAGAAGTTTTAAGACATCTAATGGCTGATTATGGATGGCAGTATGCATATATACTGAGCAATGTAACGAAACATTAAATATTTAAAGGGTTAAAGCCAAAACAGTAAGCAAAGTCTAGTCATTAACAGCCTGTCTGGTATCAGGGTTAATGAGGCAGTGAAAGTCATAAAATCTAGCACAGTAAAATCTCTTTTAAAAAGAAGATGCTTGGTGACAGCTTGGCATCTGTTCGCAAAAGCCTGTCCACTTTTGCTCCAGCACCCCTTGGAGCACCTGTGCTGGTGGGTGAGGAAGATGCTCTGGCTGCCAGGAAGGGGTGCAGGTGCAGTGACATGTGTGTGGCCTGAGGTGGCAACTGACACAGCCCCGGGGGATGGCAGTAGCCACTGCCTCAGTCCCCGTGGGGACTGGCTGCAGGAGCTCTTTGCTGCCAAGAGTGCAACGCATCCCTTAATTTCGCTGTGCCGGGGAAGCTTGGGAACCCTCCATGCTGGTGGAGAAAGACTGATCACACTAATCACCCCACCACAGCGTTTCACCAGGCACATCACATGTAGTGGTGTTCTCGGGTCCACTGTTCTCACCAGGCTGCTGCAGCTCAGCTTCCCATGGCACCAGGGCTGGACCACTCTGCCTTGGCTGCCAGAGACATTATCCCTGCATAGCCTCACATCCCCCTCTGCTGCTTCAGGATAAGTCCACATGGACTTACGGCCACATAGACAGGCTTTTATTGCACTAGGTTTTTGCACCAGAAGAATCCTGACTTACGTGGGCATTTTTGTTTCACTCAAAGTCAGAAGATGGAAGATCTCTGGTAGAAGATGGGAGCCCGACTCTGGCATGATATTTTTTTCTGTGGCTTAACATTCTTATTCCTCTTATATTTGACTTTTAATTTCTCTCGTTTCTTGAGTTACATTGTGTTACAGCATTGCCTAAAATATAGTACATACCTAAAACAAATTGAATGTGGGCAGAGATGATCTAATTACGATTTCGCAATCCAGCCAGTTTCAGAAATGTGAATTATGTGTATTCCAAGAGCACTGAGACTGGGTGAAATGCTGTGTGCTCTCAGAAAGTTCCTCACCAAATGGGTAATGCTGAAAATCCGTCTCAACATTTTGCAACAATGTTTGGTTCTTGGTAGTTCGCATAAAACACAACATGCAGATTTAGAAATGAAAGAACATTTCGTTCCTGTAACATGAGTCATGAGGATATGCTATGTGATTGAGAATATATGTGTGCTTTATTACCTCTAATTTAATCAGCAAGTAGAATACTCATTAGAAACTAATGCTGTGCAGTCTTTGTACGTGGATTTTATCAGAAATAAACTCATGTTTTCCCACTGTGTTCTGTGCAGCTTTACTATTTTCTAGAATGTTAGAAGTTCATCTTACATTCCTGTAAAGTTGTGTTAACTGATAATGGACTTGTAATATCGTACCTGTCAAGTGAGCAGTGTCATTGCAATATAGTCTGGTTTCTCTATTAACTTCTTTTTGGGTGATTTTGCAAGGGAGCTAAGGTAATATTGTGGAAAATAAGGCCTTTAATTCAAGTTTCACCGAGAAAAACAGCTTGCTGTCTTGGCAGTGCTCTTTGCTGAATCCTATGACAGTGGACTCTGAAGTCCATTTAATCATTCTAGTTTCCGGACATACTTGAAACAGCAGCTCCTGACCCAAGTGCAGGACTAGCTCTGGCGCAGGATGTGGCAGGAAGCATTGGCTGGCTGGATTGCTTTCTAAACTACCGAAGTAATACTGAATTATCATTTGTAAAGCTAGTATGTTCAGCTAAATACTAGCTTCCTCTGTGTGCAGTGTGTCAGAGAGTCAGGCAGTCGAGCTCTTTGGTAGCAGTATCTTAGAGGGACGTATGCCCTCTGTGGGGACTGGGAGGTCTGTACTGGTTGCACTCTAGTTCCTTTTCTGGTTGCAGTGTAATATTTAATACACAGGGCAGATGTAAGAGAGATGTGGTTTGACAGATTTAGTATGCTTGTAACTGTGAAGAAACTGTCCTTTTTACAGGCGGGTAAAGTCATGCTGTGCAAGAACGGGAACTGCACTGTTGTTCTTTGGTTGTTTAAGCTCTGGGCTTTGCTGGTTTAGGATCTTTCATCAAACCAGACACTCAGTGGAGTTAGGTATTCTTCCAAAATCCAGCTCAACCATTCAGTGTAAGATCTGATATTTTCACAGATGGTCAGCGCTTGCAGGACACTGATTCAGACCTGGACGCACTTGAGCATGCTCTGTTCACCTAAGTAATTCCCCAGATAACAATGCACTCAAGTTGCTGGGGTGAAGTGTAAATGTCAGTGTAGATTCTGTGTACGCCTAATGTGTGACCTCCATTTTTGTTTATTGCAGCAAAACCTGAGATTCTCACTTTGGATATGCTTAGCAATGGTGTTCTCCAGTGCGTAGCAGCTGGATTTCCAGCCCCAACCATATACTGGTATTTTTGCCCAGGAACTGAGCAGAGGTGAGTTAAGTAAACCAGGTTATTCTCCAAAGGTTATTCTAGATGCAACACACACCCATTTATAGTTAAAAATTAAGAACATAAAATGACTTCATAACACGTTCAAATATTACATCACTTTTTCCATCATTTTGGCATTGCATTATTTGCAGTGGTTTGAGAGAAGGCAGGGGTACGTTTCATTATTCTCCTTTGCATGCTGTCCTTGAAAGGGGAATAATCAGCACTTTCTGCCACAGACAAGTAAAGCCAAACTCCCTCTCTGCTGCAAGCTAGCTAAGATTTGCATCAGTTTGGCCCCAAATGACACATTCTGTATGCAGTTTCACAGAATGACAGTCACAGAATCACTTGCAAATATGGCTGTTATCTTCTGTTTATTGTGTAATGATGTAATTTTTCAAGACATAAAGTAATTAGATTTCTATTCACACGAAGTGTATGACAAGTAAACAAGAGTGAAGTTATTATGAATATAACCTGATGCGTAGATACCAGACTTCTAAAAAGACTGTAGAGTTTCATTGTGAAGTGAGCATTTCTGAAGCACATTTTAAGGTTTTGTTTGAATTCCACTGTGGATGTAGATATCATACTAGCGAGTCAAGTATGCAGTCTCACCTGTGTAATTAGAGTTGTGCCTAAAATAATTGTTATTTCATTTATTTTTTTTAAATAGTACTTTTTTCTCGTCTTAACTGTGTCCTCATGTAGTATGTAGCATACAAAAGAGAGGCAGAATCTTGACAGAGCAGTACTGGTTATTTTCCGGCTGCATATAATAAGCCTGATGGTATTGTGCATACATTATGGAATATTTTTTTGTGTGCTGTAATAAAATTATGTTTGGGAAAAGTTTTCAAGAGTAGGTAATAGACCACAACTGCTTGGAGGTGAAGTTAGAGATACAGTTTGAATGGTACATAACCCTTAGTGGACTTACAGACCTGTAGGTATCTAGTCAAAAGCAAACACAAAGACCTCATGGTGTCCAGTTCGGTCAGGCTTGATGTACGTATCCATTTCACCCACTGTATAGAAGACAGTGGGACATCATGAGTAGGCTAAGTTTCGAAGATAAGATGGTCAGCTGAACCCCTGTGTAGAGCAGTGTTGTTCAGTTACTGATGCTCTGGCAGTAACTATCTGCCTCAACAGCAGGATCTGTCATCCATTGCATGGCAGCTAACTGTCAGTATTGTTTCTCTTAGATGTTTTGATTCACCAGCAATATCCCCCATGAATGTCAGTTACACAAATTCGTCAGTGCCGTCATTTGAACGAATCCTGGTTGAAAGCAGCATTAACGTCAGCATGTTCAGGAGCACTGGCACTGTGTGTTGTGAGGCTTCTAGCAATGGGGACAAGAGCTCTGCTTTTTTCAACTTTGCTATTAAAGGTAACAGCTGGAACGAATGACACCATAAAACATGGGTGCCATTCAGCTCTTTCTGTAAGAGGATTTTAAGTTCTTTGCCATAAAGAAGTTTGCAGTACTGTGGCTGATCATATGATGACGTATTACACTGCATGCTCTGCCTGTCAAAGTGTTTCTTTTTTCAGTCTAAGTCAATGAATATTATGGTATCATCTTTTTATGGCTCCAGATAAGCAGCACGGTAGGTAGCTGGTTGTCTTCTGTCTGTGCAGCACAGGGGCAAACCACCTACAGCATTACACTGTCTTTCCCTTCCCTCTTCGTGTTGTTTGTTTTGACTGTTCAGTCCATCACTTCTTTTCCAAGGGTTCTAAATGTTTTTACAGTGTCGCAGGATTTCTAAATGTTTTTACAATGTCTCAGGAAAAATGCAGTCCCGAACTTCCCTGGAGCCTAAGGGCCCTGCTGCTGTAAAAGAAGTAACAACATCCTGCAAAAGGACTTACGAGTTTTGTAGAAGCATTTGTGGGTTTGTGGGGGAAAAAAAAGCACTAGAACGTAGATGACTTGAAATGTGCTTGTAAATCTGCGCTCTTTGCAGAATCAAATGTTCTTCTGCTTCTTTTTTTCTCCGTTACACCCAGATGTAACATATAAACAAGCCAGATTTGGGGCAGCTTGGTTTTACTGGAATGGTAATCCTTCACTACTTGTCACAACCTCTATGGGTAAAGACTGTGCTGTAGAGATCATAATTGAGAGAAAAGAAAAAAAAAAAGAGAAGAAATTAGGACTTCAAAATAAAGCTTTCTTTAACCTAACTTGACTGAGATCGTGAAACTCTGTTGCATTAATCAGTCATGCCTCCTGATTGTTGAAGCTGAGACTCCTTACGCAAGGAACTGGATAGTTTCTGTGCCAGCTTTGTCCCCCACAGCTCATTCAGGAAAGTTATGCTGGTGTATCTGGAGCACATCCAGGAAAGTCAAAAACCCAAGTCATGTTTCACAAGGAAGAACCAAGGAAAGGTTTTCACCTGCATCTTTTTAATACAGTTTTTTAGTACTGAAGCAGAATTTTCTGTTTCTTTCCAGAACAAATCCGTACCCATACCCTTTTCACCCCTTTACTAATTGCGTTTGGAGTTGCTGCAGGACTGATGTGCATCATAGTCGTGATTCTGGTGTACATATATTTGCAGGTAAGACCAGAAGCCACTCTGCCTGAGTTAGGAAAGTGTGTGAGCTGCCTTTGGAGGCTTAAGGAGTGACAGCTCTTCTCCTTCTTTTCCAGAAACCCAAATATGAAGTTCAGTGGAAAGTTGTTGAAGAAATAAATGGAAACAACTATGTTTACATAGACCCAACGCAACTTCCTTATGATCACAAATGGGAATTTCCTAGAAACCGATTGAGTTTTGGTTAGTTTAGATTTATTTAACTTCATCTGCAAGGTGAAAACTTCATGTCTCATTTGAGACTTTGGTCAAACACAGGAGGGTTTTGTCAAAAAGACCTGCAATAGTTCAGATAGTGATAATTGCTCATACTTACCTTGGGACAAAAAGCAAGCATGAATATCTACAATAGCTTCCCTGATATCAAGATGAAACATTAAACCCTTCAAGAAGAATTGCTCCAAGTTGTTACAGAGGTTTGTTTGGGTTTTTTTTCTTTATTAGGTAAAACCCTTGGTGCTGGAGCTTTTGGAAAAGTTGTTGAAGCCACTGCTTATGGTCTGTTTAAATCTGACGCTGCTATGACAGTAGCAGTAAAGATGTTGAAAAGTAAGTTGCTTTAATATACTGTTCAGTTTTTCTCACTTCGTTGTGGTCAGTGTGTTACATACTGAATGTTGTGCTTTGCCTTGCAGCAAGTGCCCATTTAACAGAAAGAGAAGCTTTGATGTCAGAGCTTAAAGTGCTGAGTTACCTTGGAAACCACATTAATATTGTGAATCTACTTGGAGCTTGCACTATTGGAGGTGGGATTATCAGCAGATTATTGATTATTTCTGTTCCTTCTTTTACTGCCAGAAGGAGGAACCCTGTGAAGAAGAATCCAGTGCTGCCAAGTCTAGGAATCTTAAATACATTTCTTGTTTAGGCAGGTCGCAGGTCATCATGACTATCACCTGTGAATTACTGAACCTACATTTTAGGCTCATCCTGAAACCAGTAATCAGACCAATGTAGCTGCAGCTAAACAGGAAGGTTGCTGTTACTGTCTTTCATGTGAGCCACTGTGTGCTTTCTTCTTGAGAGAAGAAAATGCAAAAACGCATGGCATAAGTTTTTTCCTTAAGCACACTGTTTCTCACAAATGAGAAGAGATACATGAGCTGGTTCCTTGTTGGTATCCAAGGTGAAGTCAACTCGCCTGTCTTGTATAGTCTTCTAGCCTTCTGTTAGAACTGTAAATGTGTCTATTAAGGCACCACTGAAATTACAAATTCTAAGCAGCGGAAAGTTGAGAAAAAGACTTTTCTAAATAAACTATTGCACAACACAAAGGTGTCACATTTAATGTTAACTTTAAAAGTTTGTTTTCATACATAGTAAAAGCTACAAAACAGCTGAAATGTCAATACAGAGTGATACACTCCTGTATTTTTAATTTATGTGCATTTTAATGTGAAAGATGGTGTTGCTTCTTACACAAATATTTGCTTTTTAAGTTTTTGCTTCATTTTCCAAAGAAGAGGAGCTTGTAAAAATTCACAGATTTAGATGGAAGCAAAACATTTCTCACTTTCACATTTAATGATTTAAAAGTAGGATGAAACAATTTTGTTTAAGCAGGCGACAGAGTAGACTCACTGGCCTGAGTGCGTGTCTGTCTCAGATGAAAATACAGGCATCTGTAAGAAAATCACACCACAAACACTGCATTTGCTACTATGAAAGCTGTAATTTTTAACTGCAGAAAAATGGAAATAAACTAGTGAGGTTAGGAAATGGTGGTAGAGAATAACCTTACAGATGAAATAACACGCAGTGCAATTACACATTCAAGGGCTATAGCTGGAGTCATTCACTCAGAAAACATATATTTGATCTATAAACATCCGTGCTGGAGATGACTTGATTCTCCTTTCTGATTTCATTTTAATATTCTAAGACCTTGTGCAGTGTAGCTTTCTGTCGCAGCAGGCTGTTCTGTTTGAATGATTTTTCCTATTATACTGCAGAATATAACACCCTACATCATTTCCAAAACATTACTGAAGGAGTGTGAAGCTCTACTGTAAACAGAAGTGAATCAAAAGGATTAATGTATGAAGCTTGAATTACTCTAACGTTTGGAACAAATAACTTCCGTCAGGAAGTGAGCAAAATCAAACAGATGTGTCTGGCCAGAAACATTATCACATGAAGAAAAAGACCTTATTTGTTTAATCTTTGTACAATGTAATGCTGTTGAGGGGGGTGGGGGCAAATTAGCTGGGAGCAACACAGCTTTAGCTGGACCATAGTTGCCGATCTGTGAAAGAAGAAGATGCTGTGTTACTTTTCTGTAACTTCTCAAGTCTAGACAGTGCTAGGCAGTGTGATTTTTAATAGCCCAGCTTGTGTGCTTGGCTGAATGCTATCTTTTATGTAAGGCTTTCCGCTTTAGAAACAATACTCACCTGCTTTCTAAACCTCATGTGTATCTGCAGGTCCCACTCTAGTCATCACAGAATATTGCTGCTATGGTGATCTTTTAAATTTTCTGAGACGGAAACGAGATTCATTTATTTGTCCAAAACATGAGGAACACGTAGAAACAGCAGTTTACGAGAACCTTTTGCATCAGGCAGAGCCTGCAGCGTAAGTATGATCTGCTGAAATGTCCTTGTGTTTTTAGAAGATTGAGAAGGAGGAGATAACAAAGTTTATTAGGGGTAAGAGATGTGGAGAAACCTTCCATGCAGCTGGCTTTGAAGAATCTTTGCTGGGCAAGGAAACAATTTAATTAAAGAGACGGTTTGTACAGTGGGTGGTTTATTCTAACAGAGCGCAATTGATTGTACACACTCTCTGTTTTACTTTATCAAATTTCCTGTAGTTATTTCATGCAACTCCTTGGCTCCAGTCTTTGTACGTGTTTGTGTTTATCGTTCCTGTTAAACATTGGCAGTGCTCATTTAGCAGCTTGAATGACAATTCCCCCAGTGTTGGGGTGTTAATACTCTGAGTTCTCCTAAGTCCCTGCCTTCAGAAATGACTTCTTACAAAATCAAGCCAGCGCATTACAGTATTAGAGGCAAGCTGCCACCAGTACAGCTCACTAGATTTTGCATTGACACGGCCTGTGTCACGATTCTGAGATTGCGCTTGTACTTTGTTTTTTTTTTTCCATTTACTTCATCTGTGTATTTTTAACACTCTGTTTTAGATACCAGCCCAGAGCTCTTTCCAAGTACGTTTCCAAGCAGATTTCCTGCTCACTCCTTCCCTTTGCAAAGTGAGGGGAGATACAATTTGCCAAAACCAAGGGGCTGTTGCAATACCTGCCCATTTTTATTTTTAGCCTGATTTTTAGCCGGTGGGACCATTACTTTGTTTTGGCAGACACAAAAGAACCAGGCAGACCCTTAGGAGGTGGTAAAGTCCTTTGTCCCATTGAGCTGTAGTATTGGTGGAGTTGTTTGTGCCATGGATGGCTGGTAATGACCCAGAGAGATTGGGGCTATTGTGGTGATGAATACAAAGCTGTGAGTTGTCACTGGAGGTGTGTCCTCTTTTCAGTGAAGGAACCTCACTGAGCACAATTTGCAAGTTGAGGTATAAACAGCAGAGTATTTACCAAATTCTCATATTAATATTTACTGTAAATTTGCAGCTGCTAAATGGATCAGATGTGTTTCTGGTGGTGACTAAAACTGTTGGTAATCTCATTACTCCTTTCCATGTTAGCACTGTGGCTGCATTTGTTGTTCATAAACTAAACAGATATTTCAGGCTAAGGAAGGGCTATGTGTATGAGTTCTAATGGAAATGAAGTGAAAAATGCCAAAGTACATCCATAATTTCTAAAGGTGCCCAACTGTGTCTTTATAAACCATATAGGATGAAAATCTGTACATTTGAATTATATATAGCAGTAAGAAAACTTAAAAAATGTAGCAGATGGCTGTCCCAAGCCTCGACTTCTTCAAAATATATGTGGATCCTCTATGGTACTTGGGAATCTCTGAATTTAACATTTTTTACCATTTGTCTTCTGCATTTCAATTGCCACGTAAGTTGCTGAAATACTCTGGTAGAAGTTGGCCTAAGCAGAAGAAGGAAGCACTAGCAAATCCTGTGAAACATCTGGATGTTAATTTATAGAGAGTGAAGTCTGTATAAACAGTGTATGTATGAAAGGTTTTGTTTGCTCACCTGAGCCAAACTCCAAACTTTTGAGATGTATCATTAGCTGTACTGAGAAACTGTACAGGCCTTTCCACATCTTTTTTACACACCCATGAGTTTCCAATCTACCGATGGTTTATAAAGCATTATATTCAGAAGGTTGGAGTAACCTTGGTTTTTTGTTTGAATGCCTTTTGAGACCTTTTTCACTAAGCTATGTTTCATTTCATCTGCTGCCTCTACAGTGATGTTGCCAATGAGTACATGGACATGAAACCAGGAGTGTCATACGCAGTCCCACCAAAACCTGATAAAAAAAGACCAGTGAAGTCTGGTAAGGACACTGATAAGGAATTCTCTTTGCCTGTGGGAGTGCAGAGAGAGGGGCTTCATGATTCTTTTCAGTTTTATCAGACTTTTCTCTCACAGACGAGGACAATTAAAACTCATTAATTGATATGAGAAGGCTTCAGAAAGAGCAGTATGCTGAATTACAGTGTCTTGTGTTTCTCCACATTTAAATGGAGTATCAATTATTTTCTTCTTTTTGGTGGTGGGCTATTTATGTGACTCTAGTCTGGTACTTACTTAGATCACTGATTTATTTAACATTAAGACAACTCTGTTTCTAAACTATTACACTTGCTCCACTCAAAAGCTGTTGTTTATATCGTGTAGGATCCTACACCGATCAGGATGTTACTCTTTCTGTGTCAGAAGATGATGAACTTGCTCTAGATGTTGAAGATTTGCTAAGCTTTTCTTACCAGGTGGCAAAGGGCATGAGCTTCCTTGCCTCCAAAAATGTAAGTTAAGAATTTTTCAGAGCTGGACTGAATCAATAGATTTCTGATGTTCTCTAGCATCACTTTCAGTGTTTTAATGTGATCCATGTGTTTAAATGCTGAATATTTCTGTGTTCTTTTAAACAAGCACTGCAAACTGACATGCTCTTTCATGTACCTGCAGCTTTGGCTAGTGTTGGAGTTCTGTACGGTGCTCATTGGCCAGAAGTGGAGGTTTATATCCCATAAAACAGAATACAGGGTGCACAGTAGTCAATGTCAAGCAGTGGTATTACACATCCATGGTTCAGGCTAGTACAATTGGTGACCTTGCTCATGAACAGAAGCTAGTCACAGAAATGTCAAGAGAAGAGACAGAAGGGAGGAATTGCAGTGTAGTATGTTTGCTGCACCCCAAGACTCCACTGATTAATAATGTCATGTCCTGGGAGATGGCAGGTACAGCTGAACCCTGCTGAGCTTGGTTGGTGCCTCTTATGAGTTTCATCTCCAGCCCTTCCTTCTTTCCTGGAGCACACAAAACTCCTGATGGCTTTGGAGGCAGTGAATGGAAACCTTAAGGAGTTATTTCTTCAGTCTTCTCTGGTGTATGGGAATTAAGGGGAATTCAGGAAAAAAATGGAAACCCAACATGTGGGCTCCTTCAGAAAAGCAATTAAATCTTGAGAGCTTAAGATTCATTCTCTGCTGGGGAATTTGCACAATAAACAACACTATGGAGACAGTTTTGCAGCTTTCTGTTTGCATTAGTTCTAAACAGCACTGCACTTGCTACTCCTCTCATGCAGAATACTTCCTTAAACAGGAGAGGTATCACACTGTGTGCTTTGGGGTTTTTTTTTAGCAGTATGGTGAAATGTATAGGATATATCTTGGTTTTTAATTTCTGGAAAGATAAAACCAGCCTAGAGACCCACAAAGAATCTTCACAGGCTACACTGAACATAATAGGCATTTCTTTGGGTTTCATAGGGGAGGTATTGCAGAACAGAAATGGATTTATAATAGAATAGAAGTCTTAAGGGCAGCATAGTTGTTTTGTTCTATTGGCTGTTCTTACATTATATTGGAAAAATGCCATTCAACATGTAAACACTGTAACTAATAGAGACACAGGGTAATACAGTTGCACCTTGGATAAAGAGCAAAACCAAACAGTTTAACAGAAATAATATATTTCTAGGATCCTGTGTTAACAGTGGAAAATGTGGGTCTAATTCTGCTCCAGAGGAAGTCCCCATTAAAACTTGCTTTTGGACTTGTTTATTCCCCTACTGTTCCTCCTTCCAAACCCTTTGGTTTAATTTTTGCCTATTAACAGCTTCAAAACAGGCCTACGGGCAAACTCATATTACAGATTTAATGATTTCATCAGGCTCCTCTATCCTTCAGTATGCAGGACATCCACTGCTTAGCATGCATATACTTTATTTCTTCTTATCTTCCTATAGAATAGCCCCAGAATTCACTATGCATCATCCCTGGGGACTCTTTTCTCTATAGTTTTTCCATTGATACAGACACTGTGGCATTGAGTAGCAAAGGTAATAATGAACGTAACACCACCTGAACGTGCGGTTGGGAAATAATGGGCAATGTTGCTTTGGCAGTGCAGAATAAACAGCTTTATCACAGAATTAAGTTCCACTATGCTAACACATTGTTGTGCTTTGAACTCTTCAGTCATACTGTACATACGCGCTCTTAGCTCCAGCTAGTAAATGTAGAGTAGTGTGGGCTGATGGATAAGATGCCTCAGATTGCCTCATACCCTCAGGGAAGGAGGGTCCATGCAGATCAGCAGCGCAGAGTACCCAGCTGCTCTTTTGCAGCTTGCTTGTGTATCAAGGCTCAGATGCATAAAAGTGCCTCTGTGCAGGAGCTGGGATAGGAGTCTGTCATGGGGAAATAATTCCCTTATTAAGCATGTGGTGACTTAATCACAAGACAGGGCTTCCTCCAACAAAGTCTTTATTCAGTGCAAACTGAACCAGGCAGAGACATGCTGGATGCTTGACCATTCCTTTACTTTACTGCTGCAGTGCAGTTATGCTCTCACCTTTACATATGCAAAGTGCAGAATGTGTTGGACTGGGAGGTGAATGAGAGTCCCCTGAGACAGTAATTGTCATTAAAAATAGTTCCTCATGTAAGTCTGTGGAAGGGGCAGAAATGAAGGGGTTTATGCAACCTGCAGTTATTTTCTGAGTTTGATTTGTATAACTCTTGATATTTTAAGTAATTTTTTGTAGGGAATTCCTGAAGTTTCATATTTCAAGGCAAAAAAAAAAAAATTGAACCATCTTCAGGTATTCTTTAGACAGCTTTTGCCTGCATCTGTATACCATCAGTAAAACAGGAGCTTAACACTTGCCTTTCCAGATGGAAAAAGAGATAATTTTGTTAGGGACCTGCCTCTGTTCTCTTAACAAATGCACATGACTTCCAAAGCTGTATACAAAGGAACACAACTCATGGAAAACTCAAGCACCCATCTGGAGCTTGGGAAATGTATTCCAGAAAATGGAAATATAAGCTAGCTAGGTCACTGAACACATGACTATATACTGAAAGATACTGGCATGTGAAAATTCACGGTATTTTCAAATACTTAGGTCTGCTTATAAAGATCTCATAGGTACTTAATAATTCGGGTCTTCAAGAGGAGTATTTCTGAAATGGGATTCAGTTTCCAAGCTGTTGGCTTTGAGTTACTATCGTAATTTCCCTATTTTCATCTTTCCAGCACTTTTCCCTCAACCACAATAGTTATTAATGGAAGATTGGAATTATTTTAGAAACAAACCACATTTTCCCCATATTTGTTCTGTGTTAGGAAACAAGGCAGTGATTATTCTTTATAAAATGACAAAGAAGAAGTATAAGAAACTTTAGCTGCAAATGTGAAACAGTAGAAAACTGAAAGTGACTGCAAATGCTCTTTTCTAAAATAAATGCATAGACAACCTTAGCTGTGTGGATCAATGTCATGATAGTGAAGATACTTACTACACCAGCATGTTTAATCATCTGAGTAAGCTTATTGTCACATGGCTTCGTTATGACTTTTGGCTTACCATAAAATGTATAATGCAGTAAGTCGAATAGCTGAGTATACGTGTAACCAAGCAACAGCCTGTTGAGATGATTGTAAAAAAGCTTTGTTTGTTTGTTATTTAGTGCATTCACAGGGATCTGGCTGCAAGAAATATTCTTCTAACTCATGGTCGAATAACAAAAATCTGTGACTTTGGCTTGGCAAGAGACATAAGGAATGACTCCAATTATGTGGTCAAGGGAAACGTAAGTATATATGATACTTAAGCCACCTGTTTTAAGTTTGGCGAGTCCTTGTTGTCTTGACGTGCAAATAAAAGTCTTTCTTACACAGGAATCTAGGTTTCCGAATTCTGGTATATATCCATGCTGGTCAGAAATGTTAGCAGGAGCAATTCCTGATATAGATGTGTGTGCTGACAAAACCCTTGGTATGTGTGTGGTGTTATACTGGAAAAAACATGCTGGTGTCTAAATGCATGTTGTAGTGGAGGAGAGGGGTTTGCTGCACCAATATAATGCCAAGTCTTTCTGGTACATCTGAATGTACTAAAAGTTATAGCTCTGTGAATAATTGTAAGTTTTGCCATTAGAATATGCTGGTAGCCCAATCTTAAATATAATTATTTCGAAACTTGTTTTCTCTTGGCATTACTGTATTTGTGCATTACTGAAATGGTTCATTTTTAAAATACCTATATAATCTGGGGCTTGCATCCTCTTCTGTGCTGTAACACATCACTCAGACAATGGAAACTGGATTCTGAAGTGTTAATTTATTGATTAGGGCATAGTGGAAGGCAAAAAGCCATGGTTTTCTTTGATTCCATAGCCTGAAAGGGTCAGAGGAGGATAGGCTGCAGCTGCCTGGGGAGGGAGAGAGGAAGCAGTGGCTGCAGGAGGCATCCAGTTGCATCTGGCCTGATCTTCAAGCAGATGAAGAGTGCTGGGGCATTGCCGGTTGTCGATACTGCTGGGAGGCAGTGCTGATGACAGCAGCTGGGGCTTGCCCAGGAGGAGTGTTTGCTGTTCGTGTCGTTCAGGAAATAAACAACTCTGGTTGACTGTCTGGTGAGCCAGCCCATGGCAAATTCATCTCAATAGTATGGCTGAAATGTAACTTTTGACATATCGTTGCAAGACCACTTAACAGGTTTCTCCCACAGTAGGACAAATGCTTAGGATAGAAGCCTGACTGGTTCCTACAGAAAGGGCTTTCTGTGCCCTTTCCTCTGCTTCAGCTGGCATTCCCAAGGGATGTCTGTCCCCACTCAAATTTATGAAAAATCATAGAATCATAGAATTTTTAGGTTAGAAAAGATCTTTAAGATCACTGAGTCCAATCATAAACCCAGCACTGTCAAGGTCACCAGTAAACCATGTCTCTAAGTGTCACATCTGAACATCTTTTAAACACCTCCAGGGATGGTGACTCCATTGCTTCCCAGGGCGGCCTGTTCCAGTGCTTGTCAACCCTTTCATCAATGAAGAAAGTTTTCCTAATATCCAATCCAAGCCTCTCCTGTCACAACTTGAGGCCATTTCCTCCTGTCGTATTGCTTGTTACTTGGGAGGAGAGACTGACCCCCACCTGATTACAGCCTCTTTCAGGTGGTTGTAGACATTGATAAGGTCCCCCCAGAGCTTCCTTTTCTCCAGACTAAACACCCCCTGTTCCCTCAGCTGTTCCTCATCAGACTTGTGCTCCAGACCCTTCATCAGCTTTGTTGTGCTTCTCTGGATCCGCTCCAGCTCCCCAGTGTCTCTCTTGTAGTGAGGGGCCCAGAACTGAACACAGGATTCAAGGTGCAACCTCACCAGTGCCCAGTACAGAGGGATGATCACTGCCCTGGCCCTGCTGGCCATGCTATTGCTGATACAGGCCAGGGTGCCATTGGCCTTCTGGGCTGCCTGGGCACAAGTTGGCTCATGTTCAGCAGCTGTCAGTCAGCACCCCCAGGTGGTTTTCTGCTGAGCAGCTTTCCAGCCACTTTTTCCCAGGCCTGTAGTGTTGTGTGGGGTTGTTGTGGCCCCAGTGTAGGACCCTGCACTTTGCCTTGTTGAACCTCACACAGTTGGCCTCAGTCCGTCGATTTAGCCTCTCCAGATCCCTCTGCAGAGCCTTCCTATGCTTCAGCAGATCAACACTCCCACCCAAAATATGTGTCAATATATATTTATTTCTTGTGATTTTCTGATACACTCAGGATCTAAAGCAGGTGTCTTAACTGTTTATTAAAGCCTGAAGCATCTTGACTAGGTTAATCTTACCTGTGTGCCTATGGTAACCAGTCTATGGAAGTGGACTTCCATGTTTGCATAAGGAACCATGCTACGGTCATATATATTATTTTGCTCTAGCTTCCTGCCATCTTTTATAAACAAGACAGGAGGAATCATGCAGTATACAGAAAATGAGAGTGCAAGGAACTGCAGGAGTTTGGTAGATCCACAGAAAGATGGATCAATAACCATGCAGCGCTTGGAGACTCTAAACTGCCGAGATTTCAGTTTTTGGTTGGATACTTGAGATTGATTGGATTTCTTGATTTAATGGGCATTTAAAGCACGTAAGAAGTAGAAAAGCTTGATTTTGTATTGTAAATTTTGTATTCCTTATGTCTATTGTCTTAATTTATTCCCTTTTCCCTGGAAAGGCCCGTCTTCCTGTGAAGTGGATGGCACCTGAAAGTATTTTCAATTGTGTCTACACCTTTGAGAGTGATGTCTGGTCTTATGGGATATTGCTTTGGGAGCTCTTTTCTTTAGGTAAGCTCCTTCAAGATATGTACTTCAGGGGATTTCTATTTCATCTTGGGTTTATTGCAGATGCAGAAATCATGTTGCTCATGTGCTCTCTCAACAGGAAGCAGCCCTTATCCAGGGATGCCTGTGGACTCCAAGTTCTATAAAATGATCAAGGAGGGATACAGGATGTTCAGCCCTGAGTGTGCACCACCTGAAATGTAAGTGAGAAACCAGCACCTCTGATCACCAAACATAAGCAGTGGCACAAAGGAAGGGATGCTTCCATTCTTGCCTTAAGGCTCATTGCACTGTCTCATTGTCTTTTTTTGTTTAAGTTCTTTTCATGTTTTAAATAATTCATGTACTCTAACTAGCAGAATACATGCCTGTGTTGTTACAAGCAATGAAATACCCTAATGTGTTGTGTCATCTGATCACTTTGTCGTGGCATCTGCTCCATGTCAATGAATTATTGACAGATCACAGAACATAATTAAACATTTTTAGTTCAGATAAAGTGGACATAGAGATGTACTACCAGCCTGTACAGCATCTGTATTTGCACTGTACTTCCTGACACTGAGAGGACTGACTCTTATCTTCTTTATGAGCCATCTCTAATCCTCTGTTTTGTAAATGGTTGGCACTTAGCAAGCTGTCAAAGAAAGTTCTGTCCAGAGGCTCCGATGAGTATTGAGTCCTTTGTTGTCACAGGCTCAGGTGTTATCACCACTATTTCTATTCTTAAATATCATTTAAAGAAGGTGGGACCAGGTCACACTTTTCTTTGAAGTAATGATGGAAATGAGAGGTGCTTTAAGGACTACCTCATGAGAGGTACTTAATTTCATTATCTTTGCAGGTATGACATAATGAAGAGTTGCTGGGACGCTGATCCTTTACAGAGACCCACATTCAAACAAATCGTGCAGCTGATAGAGCAGCAGCTTTCAGATAATGCCCCCCGGGTGAGTTATGGATCATCAGATTTCAGGAGTCAAAGCAGTTTCAAGCAATACTTTACACTAGAGCTGTAAGGAGCAAAAAGACAGGGTGCTTCATTAATTCTCCAGCATTACTTATGTAGCTTTACACTGTTAGTTTGGGTGGTAGGAATGATATCTGGGCTACTCACTGCTGCTTAATTGTGCCACTAGACAGTAGCTGTCAGCCCGTACCTAAAACGTACCATCTGGTGTAGACTATTAGTATGTTTGATCTTTCTCACTCAGAATAGACCTTGCACAACAATTTTGATCTACTTTTTAAATTCATTTTAAACTATGAAAAATGTTATTGATCTGGGAAACATCTCAGACGTAAAGTATACTTAGCATTTGTTTGTATTAGAAATCTTTGTGGACTAAGGGATTGAGCTTTCCATGCTCTTCTGCCTCTTCTCTTTTGCTTTCCCTAGCTCTGTTTTTATAACCTTGGAGGTATGTCATGTCAAACCATATTCACTGCTTCTTCGACCATTCTCTAGTGAAACCTTTTTGTGGGAGTGTAACTGGACAAAACAGTCCAAAGAAAAATTAGAGGCATATCAGAAACTTGGATTTTTTCTCACAATAACATTGTGTGCTGCTGGGGTTTAAAGAAGTAGGTTTAAAACCTGGTTTAAAAATAAAGCTCCTTTTTACCTTCTGGATGCCTTGTTTGGGCACAGAATACATGGCTTCCTGACAATTTGAGAAAAGAGGAAACTGAAAGCTGCTGGTGTTCGATTGCATCCTGTAGCATATTTTTGGCAGGTGCAGGCATTACTAAAACAAAAACAAGAATATGAAGGAAGTGTTAGTGAGGTTTCTGAGGGAGTTTAGTAACAGCCTGAGCTGCGTTTCTCCAGCTCCGTTGAAATTTGACATACAGTTAGAAGCTGTGGTGTTGTTAACAACAGAAGCTGAGGTTCTTGATTCTCTAAAAGAGTAGTTAAGCCCAAGACCTTTTGAAAATCTCTTTAGATTTACAAAGAAACACCTGAGCTGGAACCTTTCCACAAAGGTGTGTAGTACACAGTGAGAAAAGGCTAGCAAAGAAATGCTCTCCAGGTATGCATGAAGAGTATTGACACTGGTCTTTGGCGTCTGCAGGTTTATGCAAACTTCTCAACTCCACCTTCCAGTCAAGAAAACGCTCCAGATCACTCAGTGAGGATTAACTCGGTGGGTAGTAGTGCTTCATCTACTCAGCCTCTCTTGGTACGCGAAGATGTTTGAGTGGCATCTGGAAGAGGAGGAGCCCAGGTGTATTAGCTGTATTGTGCAGGGGGTGAGAGATGGACAACTTCAATAATTTCTCTTACTTTTACTCACTACTACCACTGTGTAGCTGAAATGTTGTTGTAATACTGTCCTTTACCACACACTGTTACACATAAACTCAATCTTCTGAGCACGGTTACACGCATCATTGCAATGTTAACTGAAGCTGTATATATTTTGCTATATTGTGTGTATTTGCAGTAGAGAGCCAGATCTGAAGAAGAAAAAAAAAAAAACAACCAACAAAAGAAATCCTGAGCCAGGGTGTGGAATAAGATGACGGCAGATCAAACCAAATCTGCTGTGATCCTTCTCTGGATCTGCGCCTGGAAGGCCTACAGTCATTTTCTAGTTAATCTTGTTTTGCAAATGTAAGAAATAAACTAATATTAAGCTGATGGCTTTGCAAACCCCTTTCCACATCCAGCCATGCCTGAGAAGCTTTCCCAGGCAAGTATCATAGAGGCCAGCAAGGGTGCTGTATGTATCTGGGCAAGAGGGGAGAAGGGACCGAGACCCTTCCACAGTTGGTCTGCACAGTAGCAAACCCTCCTGGGAGCTCTGGGGTTTCAACCAGAGGAGGGGAGAAGAACATGGATCTTCACCTTCGTTTCCCACCCACACTGTCAGCCTTGCAGACCAGTCGCAAGGTTTCTGTGGATATAGGCACTACTTCCCACTGGCCCATTCCCCACCAGTGGCAGATGGAACTGCCCATCACAGGGTGTCACTGCACCACAGAGCCTGAACCACTCTCACACCTCCTTGCCTTAGCCCAAGGGTTTGGATGCTTGTTTTGCTTATATTTATGTCCAAAAGTGTTCACCAAAGATAGGTGTTGGTCAAAATAGAGGAGGAGGGCTGCTCCCAGTAAACGGTGTGTCTGGAGGAGAGGCCATTTAACGACTCATCTAAGCAACGGCAGAGGCAGAAACATCTCTCCTAGGGGCCCTTTCTTTATCTTGTCCTACCCAGGTGAATTTTTCACACAGGCAGGCTTGGAGAGTACTAAATGGAAAGGGCTATTTCCCCATGCCCTGACTTGTTTGATCTTTCTGTTGTAGTCCAGAGATTATAAAGCAGAGCATAGCTGTGAAGGGATAAAAGAAAGTATCCCTTCATTCTTGTTTGAGACGTGAGGCTTTGGATCTGTACCTGTTCAGCCTAGGATTGGGTAGTTATTTTCTTCTTTTGTTTCTAGAAATTAGTAAAGTCATTGAAAGAAGCATTTGTCAGAAACAGAGTCCTAGTGGAGTACCTATTTATTTACAATGCACTTAAGCACTCTGTGACTTATACTTTACCAGGATTTTGGTTGAGTTTACATGCAATTTAAATCTGTAACTAACTGCCCAAATGCAAGGTAATTATAAATACACACACTGGTAGTATATTTTGGGTTATGTTGAATATCGCACTGCTTCAGTGACTGTGCATTTCGTTTATTGTTACAGGAAGCTGTCTTTCAGAGTTAAGTAAAAAATTAGCCATTTGCACTGAACATAATTAGGCTGTTGCACCTTTCCAAAGTTAGCCGGTTGTTTGGAGGCACTCTTATGCATACTTGTTGTTGAGCATTTTCAGTTTAATGCTATAAAAGCTCTTTTGTAATGTGTTGGCTTTGAGAGCTACTGTAGTCAAGCTAGTTGTTATAATTATAGATGTCTCGGTACTATACAGACACTTAGCTGAAAGAGGTTTGGGTTTTTTGTTTTTGAAATGTATATTTTTATAATTTGGGGATTTTTGAATCTTATTTTGCAATGGCTTAGTGTTTTGAATGGGTTTCTGCATTGTTTTTGTAAATATGGAAATGTAGCAATAATGTCCTTTTGACTATTCTCAGTCCTTGAGTCTCAAAAGTATTTTTTTATATATATATATGCAAAAACTATATGTATAAATATGTAAGTGTTTGAAAGTTTGAAACACTTATGGATATGTTGCTCGGTTGTAGAATTGCAGTTCAGAAAAATTCAAATAAATCTGTAAATATGTATTCAAATGCTACCAATGTGTACTATGTTAAGATGGAATATTTTCATGTAAGTCAATAAATTTTTGGGTTGAAGCAAAATCTTAGTGTCTGGCCACACACAGGTCAAGTTTGGCATTCTGAAACATTTTTCCAACTCTGTGACAGAAAACCTTAATGTTTAATTATAATGAAAGTTCTTTACCTGTGAATATATGGGACAAACACTTGCAAACATGGATGCAGGTTTATTCTGGAAAAATTTCAACTAAAGATTGATCCTGTAGACTGGTAATGGAGTCTATCTGTCAGGAAGAAGGGAGGCAGGATGAGATACTTTATGCTGCTTTGGCTGGGGGCATCAGAAAGAGAAAACGTAATGCTTCCCTTGCGGAGCAGGTATGCTGCATCTCACAGGGAGACTTGTGTTTTCATTATTCCAGATTTGAAATCTGTGACTTACCTGCTCATACTTACTCCTCTGCTGTGTAAGGGTTAGCATCAGCATAGTTGGTATGTGGTTAATAGTAGGTACAGAGCATATAAGCAAAAGTTTCTAGAACTATACTATCAAAACCCCCTACTAACAAATATATGAGAGACAGACCTCAACTGTTTTGGTCCTTAAACATTTCTGTTCTGTCAGAAAACCTCTTTGAAGAGCTCCCCTCCTTCAGAGTTTTCTTTTTAAAATAGCTTCATGGGGTTTTTTTTCTTCCATTCAGGTCTTGGCTCTGTTTGGTAAGACTGATTAAGAAAATTAAAAACTGACTTTTTTGGGGGGAGCCAGGAGATGCCAGCTTTGTGACAATTAGCATTGTCAGTGTTTTCTACTAAGGCTTCAGAAGATACCGAACTGTGGCTGATTTTGAACCATTTTTTCTCCTGTCTCATCCACCCCTCATGTCAAGCAAAGTAGACTTTATACTGATGTATCCCAGTAGCTGAGCTGGCACAAATAATGAGTGAATTCTTACTTAGCATAGCCAAAGGAGTTATTCTATGCATTTATTCAGTTAGCACGCTATTAATTTTATTTTCCTGAAATGTTTCCTCTTCTGAAGCAACCTAGAATACGACATCTCTTGCTTTCTGAAAAAATCCTACTGCTATTTTCTTGCTTCAAGGCTCACAGTGATTACTGCCTCCATCCCTGCTCATGTTTGCACAGACCATTTCCCCCTGAATTATTTTTTTGAGCCACTTCTAAGCAATAGCTTACGTGGAAAAGCACATTAGGAAAGCATTTAGTACATATTTTATCCGCCTTTCAAAGCATTATTGTACCCAGATATAAAGAGAAACCACATCGTGCTACCAGCATGGACCATCAGGACTGCGGACCATCATGGACCGAATATTTGAAGGGAGGTTGCAAAGAAGACTGATCCAGAGCACTCTTTTCAGCAGTGCCCACTGACAGGACCAGAGATAGAGAGCACAAACAGAAACATGGGATGCTCCTTCTGAACATCAGGAAACACTGTTTTTTTCCCGTGAGGGTGACTGAACACTGTCAAAGGTTGTCCAGAGAAGTTGTGGAGTCTCCATCCTTGGGAGATACTCAAAGGCCATCTGGATATTGTTCTGCGCAATTGGCTCTAGGTGCCCTGCTTGAGCAGGGGCAGTGAACCAGATGACCTCCAGGGGTGCTTGCCAATCTCAACTCTTCTATAATTTTGCAATCAGCAAGGGCACTTCAGAGAACCTCAGCTGTAACATTCATTTAGCAAGAAGCAGAAAAGAAAATCCCGCCCCTATACTGAACACTAGGGAGTGTTTCTTCCTCCATTCTCTTTACTAGCTAGAGAAGAAAATACTTGTAAGCTCTATAGGAAAGAAGAAGAAAAACTGTTGAAACACTACAGGATACATGGAGGTAGTGACCAGCATCGTATACATCACCGCCGGCAGAATTTTTTGTCTCTGGTTCTTGTTGTATGCCATAAAGATGCAATGGAGACATGATGCTGCTGGCCAAGTCAGCAGGGAATAACCAGTCACACCCTAGACCAAAATGTTCACAGTGATCACTGGAGAGGTTGGATAACAGCATCCCTATTTCTACTGCGTTGTAGGCTGACACCAAGAGAGTGAAACATTTCCCCTTCCTGTATGTGGATTAGGAAACTATGTATGTGGGGAGGTCTGAGTCTCAAAAGAGGACAAGGAGCAGTTGCATAGACTTTTTAGCCCCTGGTTTTGAAGTGAAGTTGTGATAAAAATATGCAAACCTACTCTACAGTTCTGTTGTGGTTTCCAGAAACTTTTGTAATTCTCAGTAATGGTTACAGATAACCCTAAATTGCCATGATTCCTGAGCACTAACTTCTTAAAAGATTTTGCTGTAACTAGTAAGTTTATGTCCAAAAAATGCGCTGAGGCAATGTTTTATGAAAGATTGTCCATATTTCATAAATTGATTATCAGTCACTCTTTTTTCGTGAGAACTGTTATCTCTCAGCTGCCAGCCAGGTAGCAGAGATATTTACCAGCAGCGATAGCTCCAGTGACTTGATTTTTCTGCCCATGTCCTGGAAATCATTTTAGCTAGGTTGTGACAGGCAGTATTAAAACAACTGACCCCAAAGGGCCCATTGGGATTTAAGCATGTGCTCCTCACTAAGGAATATGAGAAGCATCAGATAAGGGATTTATGTGTCGGGTTTAATGCTATCCAACCATCAGGTCACCATGTAGGAAGGCACAGTCTTTAGCCTGCCTATAGATCAGTACAGGTCAGTGTGTAGTACAAGTACTTTCTCTAGCTGCAGGAAGTGCAAAATCAGCTTTGGCTTCCCCCAGACATGTAAATTTTTGAGTACCAGTGGCTCATTGCACTTCCACAAATTCTACTGCACGTGCTTTTCACTTGGTCCAAGTACCATTACTGGGCAGGGGGCCTTCCTCTTAATATATGTTTGGGGTAGAGGTTGGTATGGTCATCAAAAAGAAGTTGGGTTAGTGGTACAGCTGAGCACTCACTTTTGGCAACTGAAATGAATGTGACATTTGACTTACCAGCTCAGGGTGGGAGGAGGGCTGCTGAGCAGGACAGCTGCCTGGTGGGTTGGGGATGAAAGGAGTGAAAGACATTCCTCAGGGCTCTGGTCCATTCAGTGCATTAAAAGAGTTTTAAAAGGGCAACAGCAACCTCCCTTATGCTGTTTGTGTCGTTTCCTCTTTTGAGTTAAAATGGCAAAACAATTCAAACTCATTTATGAAATGAAAATATTTTTGTATGTTCCCCTTCAGTCATTTTTCATTCAAAAGCTATTTGAGTTTTTATTCTTTTGCTGGGACCAAACATTAGCTAGTTATGTTGTTCTAGAAATTAGTGTTATTTGGAAATTTCCAGAGTTCTTGTGCAATATGGTTTGGATTTCAACTCACCCTGGTAGTCAGAATGTCTCTGAACTAAAG